TTAGTAGTTAAATGTTGACTTTCTATAATGCATTCTCCAAATATTATACTGAATGCTGCATCATATATAACAATTACCATGTCACAGTGCTATTTTGTGTAAATTAAATTATTGACAGCAATATAATTTTGTATTCACTTTATTATTTTGATTCATTTTTCTGTCAAAATATACAATGACTCTTCACTAGATTTAGAAACCAAAAAAACTCTTTAGATGGTGAAGTATTATTCTCCATACATTATTTTTCCTTAGCCTGTAATGAGGCTGGGGAGGGGAGAGAGAGAGAGAAGCAACATTTCATTCCTTCTCTGACATTATGTGTGTTTTCAGACATGTTGTCAACTTTAAATCATGTTACAATAATATAAGGTGTGCTATTCAGAAGGCCTGCAAAGTCTAGATCAGCTCTGGTCAGCCCCTTCAGGCACACTGCAGACTTGGTGGTTTTAGTGATGCTCCAACACAAGTGCTGCCCTGAATCGCAAGATGGGTTTCATATTATGATGATTATTCAGCCTAGCTTTAAGGAGAGTCCGTTGTACATCACAGAGGGAATACTTCCCATTCTTTGATATTTCTTATAAATGAAAGTACAAAACATTACCTCTCTGCTGCTGCTCTTTTTCCACACCTTTTCTTCTCAGGTTCTTTGAGCATTATGGCAACAGTGATATCTCTTCTGGGATGCTTGGAAGGTTCTTGCTGGTTGTGGCTGTATCTACCTGTAACACAGTACTTAGTTTGCTCATTAGCCCTGTCCAAATGCACAGCCTGTATGCTTCTCATCACCTGCTTGAAGCTAGAATGTGGAAGTCAAGACACTGGCTGCATATTCCTACTGGACCTTAGTTTTTCCCCAGACAGGTATCCTCACCTGCCTGTGGAGCCAGTCCTGCTGGCTCACTTAATGTAAAGCTCAAAATCTGTGTCAGAGATCAAGGCAGAACCCAGAATGACTGAAATTTGATTTTGGGGTCTATGAGATGGAATAAATGCACTCAGATGTGTTCAGGCAGAAAAAGGGGCTGAATCCAGCATGTAACACTCTGGGGGAGGGTGACTGGGTAGAAAAATTCCCTCAATTCTGAGTAGTGGTAAAAAGGTTCAGAAAATGTTCATCTTCTCAGCTGTTCCAGACCAAGGAGATTGGGGAAAGCCTATTCTGCAAATTTTGATGGTGTTTAGTTGTGGCTTAGATACTGACAAGCTTTAGTCATGTCTGCTCCTGCTCAGTATTGAAAAGCTAAGGTACACTGGGTGCTGAGAATGCTGGAAGCTGTTTCCAGTGCCAGGGCCAGTGAGTGCTGACTTGTTGGTATCCATACAGCTGTAGGCTAGCTCTTTCTTCAGCAGGGGTCTGCACCCCATCTTGTCCACTGTGAGCCCTAACCTAAAGGCTATTTTTCAGATGCTCTTTGTGGTTGTCTTACTCAGCTGTGCTGAAAGTGTGGAGTTGAGGAGGTAGAGAAGAAAGCTTGCAAGTTGGTGAGGATGAGACAAGAGTTGAGAAGTAACAGGGGAAGGCTAAATCCTCTCTGAGTTCACTGTGGATTTAGCTGTGTTCTCCAAATATCTGGGAGTTCATTTGTGTCTGCCAACGTGTGGCTTATATGTATGTATTTGCTTTCTATGGCAGTACAAAACTGCAAAAAAACTTACCTGATACAGATGAAACATACCTAGTCTTTGCACTTGCATTTAATTCAATATGAAATGTTAATATATGTCTGCAGCATATGCTAAATTCTCCTTTGCTCGGTTTTAAGGAGCAGGAGCCCAAAGAGACACTCAGCAGTCTCTAAGACTAAGAGTAGTGCTGAAACTCAATGACAGCTTTTTAGTCTTCTTCGCCATGCTTAGATTCCACGTGGTGTGGCACGTTCAAGATCTGTAGGGTGGTGGTAGCAGTAGTGTGAAGCTAGAAAAGGGTCTGTTTGCTTGAGGACTACCTGTTTTTCTTTTAGTCTGATAAAAAAATGTTGCAACTCTGCCAAGTTTACCCTCCTAAAATATTGCTGTGGACGCATTTTCTGTTGGCAAACTGAATGTATTAGCAATTATTGTAGAGACAACCTTAAAGCTCCATGTTAGCATGATGGTCTGTGTTAGCTGATTTATAAAATTCCTCAATGGATGGAAGAATCATTTCCTTCCATCTTCTTCTCTTAACACTTAGCAGCCTTTCTAGCTTTGATTTTTTAACTTGCAACTGAAGATTTTTTCCCTACATCTTTCTGCATATAATTTAACATATCTTTCTTTGTATGAGGCAGTTTCACACACGAATGCATGTACAGCAGAATGGTTTTACTAGAACCTGCTTCTCTTCAGAGCAGACAAATATACTTGGGTCTTCTTCTGGCACAGGCTCAAAATGCTAAGCTATAATGCTGAATTTCTCATTTGGCCTCCTTTCTTGTTTGGTTTGCCAATGTGGGAGTTAATCATATAAACAGAGAAATACAGAGTACAGGGGGAAATACATTCTGTTTTGTCCTCTTCATAAAGCTCTGGATCTTGTTGGCTATGCTAATGTATTGCTTGCAACAATTTAAATGACCGTGGTGATGAGGAACAGGTGGTGATGAGGAGTTAATGTGAGAGGACATGGAGAAATCACATTGCATGATAGGAAGTTGTTCCTCCCAGCGTTTTTCTGTGCTAGCCTATTCAAAGTGAGAGTCTGTAACTGTATCCTGTGACTACACTAGAACATGCAACAGCATTGAGTTCAAGTGCTAAACAAGTATATATCCTGTTTCAGCTAATTCTAGCATCTGAGATTCTAGGTGGCAGTCATTTCCCTCGATGTGTAAGTGCCCAAACACCGTGATGAAGAGTTAGGCCTTGTTAGGACCCCGTGCTACTAAGCTGGAAAGAGGGATTTTGCACAAAAGGATTTAAAGCTAAAACAGCAAACAAAAAGCCCATAGCTAGTCAAGGTATCCTGAGAGTTGGGAAAGACAAACCTGCTGGGCAGGTATTCCCTAATAATGTAATTTTGACATTACTAGCCTGCCTTCTACTCGATGTATCCTCTATTTGTTCAAAGAAAATCATCTGCTCCTCTCAGTTATTTCAAAGTAAAGTCACAAGAATAGCTTGTTCCCACTCTATTCCAAATATAGCTGTTGGCAGCGATTGCTGAGATAAGGGGGAAGGAAAAGGAACTACCAAGGAAGAGGAAAGACAGGAGGGGGAAGAGAGAAAAGGAGCTGAAAAGGTTGGACAATAGAGAGTAAAGAGAGAGACGTGAATGACAGGAGAGGTGAAAGAGTATGGACAGTACATCTCAGCAGAGAAAATAAATCAAAGAGTGAGATAAACTCCAGCAAAAGAGGTGGGAGCAACCCAAATACAGAATAAAGAAGGACTGTGCCCACCCTGAGGAGCTGTTTGAGTTTCAGCCTTGAAAAGTAACCAAACCTTAAATAAAACCATGCCCAATTTTGACTTGCACTCAGATTGTAAGGGTTAGAGCATCAGAAAGCTTATGCTAATTTACACTGCTTGAAGATCTGGTCCTAGAAATTTTAAAGCAAAACAAGTTGCTTATTTTAATCTCTTGTGGGATTTTTTAAAAATTGTCTGCTCCAAAAAAACTTTGTTGGCAGTTTCAGACAGAAAGCCATCCACTGGGTAAATTTGCTGGCACTGAACATCAATGCTCTTCTCAGAAGTCTGCAATCAGGATGGTCTTCTGGTGAGACTTGAGCATCTAGGCATGCCCTCAGGAGCAGGAAACAGATGATGATAAAAACTCAGGAAAAGTCAGAACCACCCTCAGACTGATTTACCCAGAGCAAAGAGATGAGGGGTTTCGAGGCTCACGGCAGACTGGTTTAAGACTAAGGCAACAAAGACATGAGAATAAATGGAAACAGGTTGTGAAAAACAGCACACAGACAGGGCAAACACAAAGGAATCCTTGGCAATCCAGAAATCCAGTGAATGGCTCTAGCTTCCCTGGAGGGTTGGGAAGTTTCTGAGAAACATTCCCCAGAGCTGCTCTGCTTCTCTTCTCAGAAGACAGGCTGGAAAATGGTGCTAGAGTTCCTTCTCTCCTGGTTTGCTGAAAAGAGATGTGATATATGACCTTACTTTTCAGCTGAGATTAAGGAGACTTACCCAGTTCCATTTCCTATAAACTGAGTTTATCTGGAAAGCCCGGACAGCTTTCTGAGTGCTCAAATGCAAGGCAGTGGGACCACCAGAGCTGAAAGTGTGACACTTACTATACTTCTCTTATTTCAGTCCCTTCAAGGAAGAAGGCTGCTTGCATTGTTAAGGGATGTGCTCTATCAGTCTCACTCTGGACTGAAGGACTGGTGCATCTATTAGCAACAGATATTTACACAAAATACAGGAGGCACATTAGAGCAGGAAATACAAGAGTAAATGAAGCTGCTTTTGGAAGATGGGACTGAAAAGCAGAGCTTAGCAGTCAGACTATTGCTATTCAGAGACAAAGTCACCATTATTTTGAGAGTCTTGTCAAGTGGATGGTATGTTGTGTTAGCTATATCTGTTTTCCCTGTTATGAGATGCAACTTCTTTTGTTGTTGTCATTTTCAAGGCAAGCATCATACAGAGCTGATATTTTATCCACTCAGCTTATACACATGAGTAGGAGCAGCCATCTTTGGACCCAGAGCAGTGTGCAGTTTGCAGACAACCTGGGAAACTTCTGGGCTGGGTGGCATGGTTGGTGCCGGGCTCCTGGGCAGTGAGAGATCCTGCAGGTAGCAGTGAGCAGAGTGCCCTCCTGGACACTGCCCTGTGCTCCCAGCCCCACGGGACAGGCTGTGGAGGACAGCTAGGCTGGGTCGATCCCTCTGTGGTGTGTTCCCACTGCCTCTCTGGAGCACTTGGTGTCTGACCCTAATTCTATCGGGAGAGAGAGGTTGTAGCTTGTAGGGATTGCAACTATCAGGCAGCCCTGCTGCCCTGACAGTGGGATCTGTGACCCACCCACGCTGTGTTTTGTGTCTCCACAGAAACACATCCGTGGTGCAAAGCTTCGGAGAGGCGTTTCAAGGCGAAACACCATGAGCATAGACCTAAGACGCAGCTTTTTGCTCCGCAGGCCGAGTCCTCTGGAACTCCGGCTTGCCTGCTCCCAGGAGAGGGCAGTGGAGCCGCACACGCTTCGTGCCGCGGCCGGCGGGCCGCTCCGTTCCTGCGGGGCTGCACGAGGTGAGCAGAGACAGGAGGATGGATTTAATAATGTATGCTTGCAAGCGTGTACAGGAATATCCAGGAAGTGTTCTGCGTGTTTAATAACGAGAATGAGTTGTCTGTAAACAAAAATAGATTTGGGGTGACTAAGATTACAGTTGCTTTTATTTGACTGGAAGTTTTCTCTGTTATGTTACGTGTATTTGTTTATGGCCACACGCAGTCATACTAGTAACTTGCTGATTCCACACAAGTTTGTTTAATTTCTGTAGCCTGAATTAGAAAATATTATTGATATTTAAATAACCATTTGGGATGCTGCTAAGGCTCTCCTGTGCCAAATCCTCACAATAAAGTCATTTACTTATTTCACATTTACAGGCATGCATCCTAAGACAACAAGGAGCCTTGGCTGAAAACAGCAGAGTGTGGTTTTAAGGTAATTAAGGGTAGACTGGGATGCCTTCTCCTCTGCTTCCTAACCACCCCCTTCCCTCAGCACACGAGCAGTCAGGAAGCTAGCTGCTTTCAGTAAGCTCACATTTACCCCAGGTTTCTGTCTGGGTGCTGGGCTTCAGTGACCAGCCACTATGGGCTGAGAACCTGTATCAGCCCTGTGGTAAGTGGCTTTTGACTGGGAATCCAGCAGACAGCCCTGACATAATAAAGCATTAGTAAACAAGTATTTCTTCTTGTGAGGACATGCCAGACCTATCTACACTCACTGAAAGAGGGCAGATTTGTGAAACTCTGAAATACGGCTTCAGAGACAAGAACTTCTCTTTTATGTGAAATGTTAAAAACAAACAAACAAACAAACAAAACCAAAACAGCAAAAAAGAAAAAAAAAAGAAAGAAAGAAAAAGAAAAAAGAAAAAAAGAAAAAAAAAAACCAAAAAACAACTAACCAACCAAATACAACCAACCAACCAACCAAACAAACAAAAACCAAAAACAACCTGCACCACAACAAAAGATACACCCACAAACCCCACCCTGAATCCAGCACAAACTTAGGACAGACTTCCCTCGCTGTCGTCAGAAGACAGGGTCACTCACCTCTGATTGAGGAGCAAGACCCAGCTCCCAGCTGAGCTGAGGCCATGCTAACATCCCCTAAAGCAGTGAGGTGTACAGTGGAAGTGGCAGAGTGTGTTTCCCAAGCAGACCTACTGGTATCACTGTTGTTGGCGCATGAGGTCAGATGAGTTTTGCAACAAAGGCATAGCAACCCCCTGGAGCAACACAAACGTGTGAAGTTAAACTGGTTAAACGGTGCTGCCAGTTCCTGCAGATGATGAGTTGCCTTTTCTTCCTCAGCCACTCTTAAGCTCGGGTGCAGCAACAAGAACAGTGTCTCAGGTACATGCAGTAGAGAAGTGCAGGAAGACGTACCCAGTGCAACATCAACTAGCACCTTGTTAAAAGAGCAAGTACAAAAAAATCTGGGGTGAAAAGGGGAAAGTTTCAAAGAAATTGGGAATGAAAAATAAGTTCATCCCTTCAGCTCTGAACTCTAGTCGGTGCTATATCCAGTCAGACATGTCATGTAGGCACAGGAAGAAAGCAGGACCACTCCATGTAGAGTAAACCTTCTGTTCTTTGGAGAATCCCAAAGTGGAAGGTTCCTAAACAAAATCAGTGTGCGTTTCTGTGTTCATTGCTGATTCACTGCTGAATGATCTGAAATCAATTAGTGAAAATACCTTGACTGGCTTCAGAAGAGGGGGCTGCAAATTGGGTAGTTTTGCCTTTGGAAGCCACAAGATCCAGGGAAAATCCGGAGACTTGCACGCACACGGAGCCACTGAAGTGCAGCTTCTCTCTTGGTGTAAGTGGGGCTTTGGCAATTTACACCAACAATCTGTCCGTCATATGAAACCACGTGGCTTGTAGGAACCACAGGAATCAGTAGGATTTTATGCATGTAAGGCTCATTGACGTCAGTGCGAGTTGGATGGCCTACCCCTGGAGTCTAGTACCATCAGCCAAATGAGGATCAAAGGCACAAAACACATGCAGAGCACTACAGCACAAATATCTGAAAAGGGACCAGAAACATTTGAGTTTCATCTGTCAACATCTTCCTGAAGCGCTAGCTATGTTTCCATCTTGCCTTGCACCACCAGACCCTGCTGCCTCCAGACAAAGCTCCCATTGAGAGAAGACGAGCGACTCAGTTTTCCATGTAAAGGCTGGATATCAGACACAGTTTACCCCATCCTTAGGAAGGCTCTTAAAATTACCCACCAACATCAACTAACAGCAGTATTCCTTATTCATGTCAGTCTTTGAATCCTTGCCACAGTGGAAGAACATTACGTTTGCCATGTTAGCCCAAAGGTGGAGCTGAGCTACAGAGCAGCTAAAGCAGGATGCAGAACCTTGGCTCTTCTTTCTCTGAGTGTCATCAGTGGGCACAGAGGATGTAATAGAGGAACATGCTGTCTAGTATTGCTAAAATCTGCATCTCACACCTCCACCATGTTTTTCAGTACAGAGGATGCTGTATGTAGGTCTACATGTTTCTCAGATTAATGTAAAGTCACTTGTCCCCCTGCACAACAGATTCCAATATTTTGTTCTTTCATAGTAGCGATGAGACCAATTATAGCTCAGCTGTAATGGAAAGGTACAATACAATTGCTCCTACTTCTCAGTCAAATTTCCCAGAACCTGTCTCTCTCTCTCTGTCTCTCTGTCACAATTTAACTTTTAAATTGAGATTGTGTTTTTTAAACGAAAGTATCTAGAATCCTACTGAAATGGAACACGAGCTTTCTTTCAGCTAAGTCTCACGTGCCAAACTGTATTGGCTGTATGTTAAGTGCTAGAAAGAATTGGTAACAAAATCATTGTATATTAACATATACAAAAAAAAAAAAAAAAAAGACCTACAAAGAACTCTACATCTCCTAATTACTGTGTGCACTTCCCAGATCACCCATCAAGGAAAATATCTAGATTTGTGCCTGTAGTTCCTTAGCAAGAATGACAAATGCCCTGAAACTTTGACTTTTTTAGCTACGCTCCTGTCTCGCCTGTGTTCTGCAGTGACTGGAGAAGCATTGAAACTGGAACATCACCAAAGGCACTGAAACAAAAACTGAGCAATTGAGACAGCCTTTCTCAGCTGGGCGCAAGGTGCTGCAGGATTGGAGCGGAGCCTGTGAGGCAGATGACAGCACTTGAGACCACCACGGAGGTAAGTCTGCGCTCCGTAGAGACACCTGAGCATGTGCTGTAATGGACTCAAGCCTGTAAATATTGTGATCTGCAGTTAAAAATGCAAGGTGGAAATTTGTTTAGCCTTTTAGTGTATGCTTTGGCTTGTTGCTTTGGAGGAAGAGTGTGCTTTTGTAGCATCTCGTACGTGGCTGTGTCTTACTGCTGCTTGGGCTGTTGATGTTTTTTATTCCTGCATGCCTCTGGAAAGGGGCCTTGCATGCTACAGATCATACGGGAGAGCTGTTTTCCTAAAAGCGGGAATAAACAGTCAGGAGATGAAATATTCCTAAGTAATGAGATTAGAGACAAGAACGTAACATGGGATGCGGCTTTCAACAATAATTACATCTGACACCCTCATCAGCAAGAAGATGTAGGGGCTGCGAGCTCTGAGCTTGGGAACAGCATATGAAAGACTGGCTTCTCTTGGGAAGGGAGGCACAGGGGAGGTTATTTTTAGCACTCGGAAGAAAAAAGCAGGAAAAAAAAAAGCAAGAATTTAAGCACTCTTCGGTTTGATCCCCTTCTTATGGAAGAGGTCGTACAGAAAGAGGTGGTGTGCAAAGAAAATAAGAAACGGGAGCAGAAACAGCGCTGGCGACGGGGCAGCGGCTGCGCTGAACGCCATGGGCTGATTCAGGACAGAGAGGAGAGGGAGCGAGGTCCGAGCGGGAGGGGAGCTGCGCACAGGAGAGCCGGGGAGCTGCGGGCAGGGCGGGCAGAAGCTCCTGTCCGCACCCGACAGCCGCAGGGCCGAGGGGCCGGCAGCGGCGGGGCAGGTGCGGTGCGCTCCGCCGTCGGGGCCGCGCTGCAGTTGGCTCCGGTTCCACGGCGCGGCGCTGAGTCGGGCGCCGGCGGGGCCGGGGGCTCCGGGAGGAGCTCGGCGCCCTCGCCGCCCCCGGCCCGCCCCGGCCCGGCGAGGAGCTCTCGTCGGCAGCCGCGCGGCTCCGCGTTCGCGGCGGTATTTATAGATCAGACACTTTCCAAAAAAGCAGCGCCGCGCTCGCCGCGCTCGGCGGCTCTTTCCACCCGTAATTGAGAAAAAAAAAAAAAAAAAAAAAAAGCGAGCGAAAAGGAGAAGCGGGGCTTTGCGAGCGCGGCGCTCTCCCGACCCGGCGCTCTGCGGTCACGGGCTGCTAAGAAAGTGAGCGGGGTCCGGCGGGGCGGCCCCGGGACCTCCTCTGCTTTCCGAGCTTTAATTTTTCCGGAACGAGCCCTAAAAAGGGCAGCGGGGCGGGGCCGGATCTTCGCCTTTTTAGGACAAGGGCCCCGCCACCGGAATACCCCCTCGGCGGCGGCGGGCGGAGGGGCGCTGCCGGCGCGGCGGCGGTCCCCGGGGGGCCGCGCGGGGCCGGGGCGGGCCGGGGCCGCCTCCGCGGGGCGAGGGGCGCGGGGGGCCGGGGCGGGCGCGGGGCGGCGGGGCCGCACGCGGGCGCCCACGTGACCGCCGGGCCCCGTTCCTCAGTCCTTATATGGGCAGTGACGTCCCGGGCATTCAGGGGGCCCCCATAAATAGTTACCGCCAGACTTGTCCTCCAGCGCGAGCTGCGGCGGGAGCGCGGCTCTCCCGGGGCACCGCCGCGACGGGGCGGCCGCCCGCCCGCACATGCCCGCTCCGCGCCGGCTCCCCGCGATCCCCCCGCGTCGGTAGCGGGAGGCAGGGGAGAGCCCCGTCCCCGCCCCGAGCGCCCGCCGCCGGCCGGGAGCGCGGCTCCCCGGGCCGCCCGCCGCCCCCATGATGACCGCCAAGGCGGCGGACAAGATCCCGGTGCCCCTCGGCGGGTTCCCGCACCAGCTGCCCGAGGGCATCTACCCCGCGGACGACATCTCCGCCGCGCTGCCGACTTCGGTCGCGATCTTCCCCAATGCCGACCCCGCGGGGCCGTTCGACCAGATGAGCGGCGTGGCCGCAGGTAAGCGGAGCCGCGCGGCCGCGCAGGTGCGGGGCGGTGAGGCCGGGGGGCGGCGGGAGGCTGCGGGGGCGGGCGGGGGCGGCGGTCTCCCGGGGCTCGCCCGGCCGGGGTCCCTCGGGGGGCCGCTCGGGGGAGAGGCCGGGGCGCGACACGTGCGCGGCGCAGCCCCGCGCCCCCCGGGCGGCTGCCGGGGCAGGGGAGGCTCGCGGTGCTGACCGGCGCCTCGCCTCGCCCCCAGACGGCATGCTCGGCGTGGACATGGGCGACAAGCGGGCCCTGGAGCTCCCCTACGGCGGCGGCTTCGCGCCCGGCGCCCCGACCTCCCGCAACCAGACCTTCACCTACATGGGCAAGTTCTCCATCGACCCGCAGTACCCCGGCGCCGGCTGCTACCCCGAGGGCATCATCAACATCGTGAGCGCGGGCATCCTGCAGGGGGTCAGCGCGCCCGCCTCCGCCGCCTCCGCCGCCTCCTCCGCCGCCTCCTCCGCCTCCTCCTCGGCCACCGCCGCCTCCGCCGCCTCCCCCGGCGCGCTGCCCGGGGCGCTGGGCTGCGGCATGGCGCAGGGCCCGCCGGCCGAGCTGGAGCACCTCTATTCGCCGCCGCCGCCGCCCTACTCGGGCTGCGGGGAGCTGTACCCGCAGGACCCCTCCTCGGCCTTCCTGCCCGCCGCCGGCGGCGGGGCGCTGCCCTTCCCCCCGCCGCCCTCCTACCCCTCCCCGAAGGCGGCGGCGGCCGACGGCGGGCTCTTCACCGTCATCCCCGAGTACGGCGGCTTCTTCCCGCCGCCCCAGTGCCAGCGGGAGCTGCACGCCGGTCCCGACCGCAAGCCCTTCCCCTGCCCCCTCGACTCGCTCCGCGTCCCGCCGCCGCTCACGCCGCTCTCCACCATCCGCAACTTCACCATGGGGGCGGCCCCGGCGGGCGCCGCTCCCGGTTCTGCCCCCGGAGGCGGCGGCGGCGGCGGCGGCGCTGGGGAGGGCGCGCGGCTGCCCGCGGGCGCCTACAGCCCGCACCACCTGCCGCTGCGGCCCATCCTGCGGCCCCGCAAGTACCCCAACCGGCCCAGCAAGACGCCGGTGCACGAGCGGCCCTACCCCTGCCCCGCCGAGGGCTGCGACCGCCGCTTCTCGCGCTCCGACGAGCTCACCCGGCACATCCGCATCCACACGGGCCACAAGCCCTTCCAGTGCCGCATCTGCATGCGCAACTTCAGCCGCAGCGACCACCTCACCACTCACATCCGCACGCACACCGGCGAGAAGCCCTTCGCCTGCGACTTCTGCGGGAGGAAGTTCGCCCGCTCCGACGAGAGGAAGCGGCACACCAAGATCCACCTGCGCCAGAAGGAGCGCAAGGGCGCGGGGACCGCCGCCGCCCCGCAGCCCGGAGCCGGCGGCAGCGGGGCCGCCCTGGGCCCCTGCGCGGCGCGGACGCGGACGCCCTGAGCCGGGCGCGGGGCGTGGGGGCGGCGCGGAGCCCCGGGGGCGCGGGGTGCCGGGCCGGGCGGGGCCGACGGCTGTACATAGGGGCTGCGGCGGGAGGACGGATGCATGCGGTGCCGTCGTGGTGAGGTGTCCTTGGTGCCTTGTGTGGTGTGAGCCCGTACCCGGCTGCATGTGGGGGGTGCCTTACCGATCCGCTCCGACGACAGCGGCGACGCCGAGACCGGAAAGTTTGCCTTCCCTCCCTGGTTGTAGTATGGCTGTACATTTCTGCCTATTAATATTGGGATTTTTTTTTTTTTTTAGAGACTATATTTTTGTACGCACTGGTTGGGGTTGTTTTTTTTTTTTTTTGTCTTTTCGGTGACCGAAGAGTGTTGCGTCTGCGGGGGGAGGGGGAGGGCCCGGGCGGGACGAGCGCACCCGGCGGGCCCGGCCCGATCAGCGCCGCGGGGCGCGGGCGGCGGCACGGCCGTGTGCGGCCGCGGGCGGCAGCTGCGGGACGGGGCTCCCTCCCGCCGCTCTGTACATAGCCCTCCGACGGCAGGGTCGGCGCTCACGGCGTTTATAAGCGACGACGAATAAATCTCTTAATTATGCCACGCTGACACCGTTATTTCCGTAGGTGCCTGCCGGGGGAGGGGGGCTCCCCGCCGGCCCCGTCCCCGCCGTGCCGAGCCGCGCTGCCGGCCGCGGGGATTCCCGTCGGAGGCGAGAGCCGCGCCGGCGGCGGTGGGAGCGGGCGGGCGGTGTGACTCAGCGCGGTGTTCCGCGGCCCGGGGCGGCTGCCCCGAGTGGGCTCCGGCACAGCGAGTCCGGGGCTGTGCGGGCTGCCACCCGCCCGAGCCGGGCTTTCCCCTGCACATCGGCCTGGCTGCGACACCGCTTTTTTTTTCCTTTTTTTTTTTTTCCTTTCCTTCCTCTTCTTTCTTTCTTTCTTTTTCTTTTTTTTTTTTTTTTTCCTTTTCTTTTCTTTCTTTCTTTCTTTTTTTTTTTTTTAACCTTCTGTAAGTTATTTTTGAGGATGCTGACCCGGCCGGAGCTGCTGGTGGTGCGTGGCTGGAGCCCGGGACAGCTGCAAGCAGCCCAGCACTGCGGTGAGCCCTGGCACAGCCCTGGCACGGCTGTTCTGACTGAAGCCACCAGCAGTCCGCTGCCTGCCTTTTCCACTGAAACTTCCTGCTACCTTCCCTGCTGCCAGGGTGCTGGCTCTCAGAGCAGCTGCTCTTCAGAGCTGGAAATGAAACAGGTCTCCAAAACTGGGCACAAAGAAGCTGAGGAGCTTCTCAGCACCCCGCCACCTTCCTCGCACAGCTCTCATAAGCTTTAGCCTCCCCTCATCTCAGCAAGGTCAGCTTTACCATCTGGTCCCACACGTTCCCGGGCTCCCAAAGGGACAGTGGCCTGCTGGCGGAGGGGTGGCACATGGCCCGTCTCAGCCGTGGAGCACAACCTCACAGAGTCGTGGTGTCCTCAGTCAGCATCACTGGGCTGCAGTGTGGGAAGGCAGACTGGCAACGCTGGGCTCCCCCAGGCACCACCACAGCTTTGGATAACCATGGCTTGGTCACAGCCAGAGCGTCGTAGGCCAGCTCAGGCTCTCAGCTACCAAAGTGCACAATCCAAGGCTCTGCTCACAGCCTCTAAACTACTGAGTGCAGTCCTGCCGCAAGATTGAGACTCCAGCAAAGAGCAGAAGTCGACACAGAAATTGTAAGTGAGCTGGATTAAGGACACTGCCAGTACCTAGCGTACAGCTGTGAGAAACTTTACACTGTGTAATAGTATCAGCACTCTTAAACCCGTGCCTTTACTTTACAGTAACAACTGGCTTCACAAGCTGCAGTACCACACATGCTGGATGTGTCCGAAGGGCCAAACACACCATTCGGGCTGCCAGGCAAAAGAAACTTGCATTACCGCACTTGTTCAAAGCTGTCACACTTGTGGAGGAAAGTAATGACTGGTCGGTGGTGAGATATCCTGTATTTATTCTGTAACTCAGCAATAACAGTGATTTTGCTGTTGTGAAAACGCAATAAACAGACTGCAGAGAGAAGGAACTGCATTACAGACTCAAACCTTCTGCTTACAGATACCCAGAACATGTGCAGTAAGTTTCAATCATTGAATAAGCAAGAAGAGGCTTTTCTTTAATACATCTCAGGTTCTCTTTTTCCAGACACAATGACTTTAATACTTTGATGCTAACACCATTACTTAAAAAAACAAAACAGTTTTGCCACAATTGTTAATGGCACTCTACAGGGTAAGGGACCAAGCCGTCCTCTGTGGAAAGGTGCATTTAAATCCTATCCTATTACATATCTTGACTAGGTCTTGCGCATGGAGAAAAAATAAAGAGCAACAATAGAGACCTAAGGGGAGGATAGAGAGATGAGATACAGAACCAAAATGCTCTTTGTTGCAGTTTGTTTTTCCAGTACCGCTGTTTGCATGCAGCACGCTGTCTTTGTGGGCTTCTGGAAAAGGATGACAGTCTTCATTAGTGCTGGAGCAAGTGAGAAACACAGGCTGTGCCGTTCCGAGGCACTGCATTACAGTTAATGACTACGCTTGATAGAGAATTGTTGCACATTAACTAATGCTAAGCTGCAGGGGAATTCCAGGAAAAACAGGTAAGCCCGCTGCAGAAACATCAGACACTCCACATGCTCTAAGAATAAATGGAAATTGAGCAAAATAATTTCCACCAATTTTTCCTTGAAAAAGCATGAATATGTGTATGCATAACACTGATGGTGTTTTACATTCATTCTTGCACAGCCCTTCCTGCCCACCTCCCAATTAAAAAAGTGATGCTGTATCGGAATCACTTAAAAATTCACCCGTCCAAGCAACCGTACAGGAAAAACAAGTCTGCTCTTATAAACACAAAGAAACAAAAGGTTGGTTGTGGGACAGCTTCTGGAGCAGGTTGGTAACATCCCTTAGGAAGTGGGTTTGTGTTCAAATTCCCACATGGTGGCCCAGGCTGGAGCCCGTGGCACGGCATGCTCTGCCATCAGAGGCACCGGGCCATTCCCTGCAGCACAAACAGGTACGTCACCTCTAGAAAAGTTTCTCCCGTTAGAAAGATCGCATCCCCTGCTGAGGACACGCTGTATCTCAAGGCTGCTTACAGCACAGCAAGGCAAAATGCACTGTGTTTCTTCTACACTATGTTTATTTAAAAGCCTTACAAAAAAGTAATCTTTATAAATAGTATAAAGAGGGAAACCACAAGGTTTCCAAAGCTCAGTGTTCACTTGTCCATATAAAAACCCAGACCGCTTTTAGAGAAGAGTTATTGGGTCAAATCCTATCTGAACCTAGGGTATGTGTACAGATGGATACATGTATCTATAGGTTACAGGCAAGTGAGTAGTGTCGTACAGCAGCATCCATGGGACAGCAGCGGTCTTCTCTAAAGATGCCCACAGCTTCCACTCCTCTCGGCCACTGCTATATGAGAACTTCCAAGCACAGTTAATTAGCAGCTGCGAGTCTCCTCCCGGCTGAGGGAACATGCATAGGAATGCTCTATAACTTCAGTTCTAATAGCCAGATCTTATATGTAACGCAGTGAAGAACTGTTAAATGGTAATTCGGGACCCGACACCGTCCCTCAGGAGGGGAGCTCATTTCACTCCCACCCCACGCACACCACTGCGTATCCGCGGAGCGCTGCCCGCCCCGAGAGTTGCCCCGGGGTGGGATTTTGCCAGTTCGGTACATCTCTTAGAGGAGCCCGTCCCGGAGCCCCCGGGGAAGGCGGTGCGGCGCTCCCGGCAGCGAGGGGGCGGAGGTGGCGGCCCCGGGAGGGTTCTTATTGCATTCGCTCCGCTGGAGCCCGACCCCCCCCTCTTTCACCGGAGCCGCTGGGTTTTCTTTCGAACGCTCAGTCGAGTAGAACCGGACCGCGCCACTCCTCCGTCACCGCACGTCAGCCACAAGAAATAAATACATCGTCACTTTATTGCCCCGGGCGGTCCTCGGCGCGCGGCCCTGCGAGCAGCCCGTGCCGGCGGCCTTTCCCCCGGCGGGAGCGACGCGATCCGAGCGGAGGGCCGAGCCGCGGCCCGGGGCGCCGACCTCGAGCGGTCGGACGGGACGGGACGAGCCGGGCGGGGCTCCCCGCGCCGCCGCCCGCCTCCCCTCGCGGCCGGGCGCTCCGCAGCGTTCCGTCCGGTCCCGAGGGCCGACGCGCGGCGGGCGCCGCCTCAGGGGCAGACGCGGGGCCCCGGGTAGGGCTCTCCCCCGCACCAGAAGTCGGCGGCCGGCGCGGTCTCCAGCAGCCACACCTCCCTGGGCAGCGCGGGCTCGGCGCCGGCCGGCGGCCCCTCCAGCAGGCGGTAGTAGTGGCAGTCCCGGCCGTGCTCGGGGTCGTAGGGCGGCGCCAGGATGTCGAGGAAGGCGGCGGGGCCGTCCACGGCGTCGATCTGGTGCAGGTTGTCGCTGTGCGGCGAGAGCAGGCAGGGCGGCGAGGCGGGCGTGTAGTGCTGCCGGGAGCGCAGCAGGGCGCGCAGGCACGGCCCCGGGGCGGGCGGCGGCGGCGGGGCGGCGGCGGCGGGCAGCGCGTCCATGCAGGCGATGCGCAGCGTGCCGTACAGCACCTTCAGCATGCCGTTCATCCCCGGGTGGTCGTGCAGCGGGATGCAGGCGCCGCCGCGCAGCAGGAACACGCCCATGCTGAAGCTCTCGGTCTCGCAGATGTGCATGTAGCTGACGGGCGGCACGGCGCCGGCCCGCGGGCACCCCGCCGCCGCCGGAGCCGGCCCCTGCGGCGCCAAGTGCAGGTCCTCGGCGCGCACCTCGTCCAGCAGCTGCTGCAGCCGGTGCAGGTTCTCCCCGAAGGCCGGCCCCGCGGGGCTGCGGAAGGTGATGCGCGCCTGCCGCGCCACCCGCTGGATCAGGGAGGCCATGTTGTCCCGGGGCATGGCGGCTCCCGGCCCGCTCCGGCCCGGCCCCGCGCGCCCGCCCGCGCCAGGCGCCGCCGTCGCTTCCTCCCGCCGCTTCCTCCCGCGGCCGCCCCGACGCGCAGGCGCGCCCGCGCCGCCGTGCACCACGGGGCCCGTAGTCCCCCGCCCGCGGTCCGCCGCCCCTCGCTTCCGTCGCCCCCGTGCTGCACGGCGCTTCTGCCCGCCGCCCCTCGGACGGCGGCTCGGGGGCGGTCTCGGCGCGGCGGCGGCGGCGCGGGCGCGGGGCGGCGGGGCCGGGAGGAGGACTACGGCTCCCGGCGGCGCTGGCGCGAGGGGGCGGCTCCGCCGGAGGCCGCGCTCCGCCGGCGGCGCGAGGGGCCGCGGGGTCGGGAGGCGGTGTGAGGGGCGGCCGCCATCTTGGGGCGGGGGTGCGCGGGGCGCTGGGGGCCGGCCCCCATCCCTCCGGGAGCTCCGTGCGCCGCGGCTCCCGGCGGCGTGAGGGCGGCCGGCCGGAGCGGTTTCAAACTTAGAAAAGCGCGCTCTGATCGCGGGAGCGAACGGACTCGTGCCACCTCGAGTCCGATTCCCCGAGCAGGTGTCAGGCGTGCAGGCGCTGCCGTGCCGGGCGCTCAGCCCGCAGCGGTTCTGACGAGCGGCTGGGTAGGGCTCTGCGGGCTGCAGCCACCGAGCTCGGTAACTTCGTTTAAAAGCAGTACAGACAGGTGCGTTTTCCCGATTACAGACAAGCAGAGTTCTTCAGGTGTGCGTTGCACTTAAGAAGGATGCGTGTGGCCTTGCGGGGTTACTCACCGCCTTCATACGGATGAAGCAGAAGTGCGGCTGTGGCCGGCGGGGATGCTGGCGCTGCTGACGAGGACTGGTGATTCGGAGCCCTCTTCCCAAACCTGTTTCCCACTTTTTATACATAACAGAACGCAAATTTAGGTCGTGGTGTAATTGATTCTCCTCAGAGTGCTCAGTCAAGTTGCCTGTTTTGAGTTCCACCCGAATCCATTGGCAGTGTGGCTCTCAGCCTGTTCTGACACAGGTACTTCAAAAGCATTTCTCTCTCCAGTGCCAGTGTTGAAGAGTGTTTCTGCACCTGGCAGGACATCTGGAACAGGGGGATCTGTGCTTTGGGGTGAGCAGCAGGGTCAGCCTTAGTAGCCCGTGGCCCTGGGTATTGGAGGGAACTGCTGGGGATGGTCACAGCCTCCCCGCTGCCGTGCTGGCTGAGACGTGGGTACTGACAGACACCCAGAGTGCCAAGTTTCAGTGTTTAGTCTGCTTTTCTGTACAGCCCCCTGTGCAGGGTCTGTCAGTTTAATCATGGAGGTATGGGCCGGAATTTTTGTCAGTTATTGTTATTGGTGATAATCATATATCATCTCAGCATTGGCTTAGGTATTTATTTGCATTCTCACTCAGCAGTTATGTTTTATGCTTGGAAGTGATTGCTAAAACGCTTACTTTTCAACACTGATTCTTTTCCTGTGCAGCACAAAAATAAACTGTTTTGTGGAAGCAGAAATGCTTGGTAGTGGTAGGACTTTGTGCGTTTGTCTAACGCAACGTGCTGTTGCAAGGACAATCAGCATAGAAAACCAGGACTTCGAGCTCTGCATCTCTGCTTGATCTCTACTTGCTGGGTGATATGAGGTGAGTTACTGGACCCTTTGTGCTTATCACTCTGTAAACCATGAATCACCTCTGTGCAAGGACGTTTATTAAGATTTTAAAAGATCTTAAGAATATCTTCATGCAGACTTTCCTGGTGCCATATTACATTGGTGACAAGCTTTATGTTTTGCATAACCTACAATCCGCAATGTTTTTAACTACAGCATTGGTTTGATGTGGACAAAAATATGTCTTTGGCACTTAACGTTCCAGCTAAATGTTACATCACACCCACATTTTTCAGTTCAGTGATATATAAGAAAAAATAACGTGCAAAACAACCAACACAGAAAAGCAAGTTGTCCAGCCGACTGACAAATGTACTGACATTATTATTCAAAAGATAATGTTCTTAGCTAACATCTACCATCTTGTACGCATGGGAAGGAAAAAAACCAACCACGGTGTGGTTGCTTGGCTGGGCTTTGAGACTACTTTATATCAGTGATGCAATGACCAAAGTTCAGCATAGTGGTTTTATGATAAAACCAGCGAGAGTGAGGTCAGGCTCAGGTTACAGTTTTGGCCTCCTGCTGTGTTTGTTGGTTTTTTCCTCACATGGAGAATGTATTCAGAACTGTTACATCTATTTTCTTTCCACCCCCTCTCCACCACTTCTAAGCTCCTCTCCCCGCTACCTCAACTCTCCCGTGAAACGAGCAGTTTTTTAGCTTTTTGCTTCTCAGTTACTGTTATGTATTATAATTTTCCCCCTAATTTGTGAAGTATCCCCTACTCATTTTCACTTTCTTATAGGAGCTGCTTCCCAGATCCTCTTGATTTTGTTTGAGAAGTTAGAATTACCTGTAATCACTGGTAAACCAAGAGTCCCGAACGGAGAATAATGACAAGCGCCTACCTAGAAGGTCAGTGGTTGGCTGTTAGCACGTTCTGTCACGGTGCTGGAATATTTCACAAGGTGTAGAACTCGGTGAGGCAGTACAGAAACCATCCTCTGTCATAATGCTGCCAGTGACTGCAGAGGTGTATTCACATAGGACAAAAAGTTAGACTGTCTAAGAAATTTTTGCACTGTTCGTGCCACTCGTTATGCAACGTTATGTTTGTTTGTTTTATAAAGCTACCACCAATCAGAGAGAGAAGTACAAATATCAGGCAGATATGATTATGATGAGAACAAGACTGGAAAGAGTGAAGACAAACATGTCTGTAATATTTGCTGTTTCTCCAGTAATAATGGCTTACGTAAAAGAAAGTTGGTTATCAGTTATTCATCAGAGAATTTGTAAATCAGTTGAAGCACAAAGGAGTGCTTGTAACTGTACTGAAATCAGGAGGGGAATTAGGTTCATGTAGATACCAAACTTTAAGCAGATCTACGTAACATTAGAATCTCACTCACTTTTACCACTTCTTCACTGACACCTATCCTGTATTTCATTTATTCTATTAAACATAAAATAAAATATCTAAGGTGTGGGGGGCAAAGTGGCGAGGCCAGACTGTTTTCAGCAGTGTGCGGAGACAGGACAAGGGGAAATGGCCAGAAGCTGGAGCATAGGAAGTTCCGCACCAATGTGTGCAAGAACTTCTTTACGGTGAGGGTGACGGAGCACTGGAACAGGCTGCCCAGGGAGGTTGTGGAGTCTCCTTCTCTGGAGATATTCAAGACCCGCCTGGACGCCTACCTGTGTGACCTGGTGTAGGGATCCTGCTTTGGCAGGGGGGTTGGACTCGATGATCTCTGGAGGTCCCTTCCAACCCCTATGATTCTGTGATTCTGTGATTCTGAAACATGCAATTCACACTTGCTGTAAAGCTTCTTTTGTTGTAGCCTGTCAGTTAAATATGCTATTTCTGTATAAAATACATCATTAATGGATTTTATTGACAAGTTGCTACTGAACGTCTTGGAGCTGTTGGAGTGACTCGGAGTAGGAAAGGCTGTGCGGCATGCTGCTCCCTGTGTATGAATCTGAGCAGATTCATGGTTTCTGAATTTCATGGTTTCTGCTGATTGGTGCCAATCAGATCCGTGCTGATGTCCCTGACTACATCTAGCTTAGATTGTGATGACTGGAAGTATGAAGTTGTGTCCTCATTTCTTCTGAACTCTCTGACTGTCTAGGACCAATCCTGCCTAGGAGGAAGAAGACATTTACAGGTGTGGTTAGAAACTGCTTTCCCTTCATGTGCTCCCTTGCTGATGTGTCATTTGCAGGAAGATGTCTCTGCCCAGAGCCACTTGTATGGTGGTACCCTGCCCTCCTGCAGCAGTGGAGCTGCGGGGTACTTCCACCAGTTATAAGCACTCCTGGCAATTCAAAGAGACAAGGGAAGAGGGAGAGATCTGCTAGTGGCTGTGGGGAGTTATCTCTGTTTGTCATGTACCTGTAGTGTTTTCAAAAGATTATCTGACTATATAACTTGGGACAAATCTGACCTATAAGTCTAAAATTTAGAATAAGTGCAAAGAATTTTGTTGAAGTGTCCATAACACTGAGTGTGCAGATACAGGCAGGAAGGTAGAAGATTCCTTTGATGGTTATTTGGATTAAAGAAGCCCACAGCTCAATTTGCAAGTGTAATTCTGAGTCCAGAGTTGTCATTCTTATTACTGGCATAACTTTCAACAGAAGGTGCATGGGTACTGTTTTCAGAAGAATGTAATAAGAAGCAAATGGGAGTCACTAATTATATTGATTAAACTTTTAAGTGTACAGAATGCTGTGATTTGGACTATCACTTTTCATCTTTCAACTGACAAAAACAGGCAGAAGAGACACAGTTAAAAATTACTTTTGCATTAGTTACTTAAAGCGACTTGTGATTTCTTCATTGCATACCTTTATATATGATTGTATTAAAATAATTTCAGTATTATTTTTACACAAACGCGTTCCATAGCAGCAAAATGCATGAGTTATGTATTGTCTTATTGATACAATTTACTGTTAATTTAAGTGCTGTTCATAACCTGTTGGGAAAGTTGAAATCAGTTTCCTGTGGTATTTGATGCAGAACGAAAGCCATACTTGGCTGTGGTCCTGACACTTTCCTAGCCCACGGGGCTTATCTCCTGTGTGGAAGATCCTGCTTTCCAGCTGGGGCCGTGCAGTGTGTGTGAAATGCTGCGGCAAAGTGGAGCATCGGCACCCACTCTGTTGTGGCAGATGGCGCACAGCGTGACACCCGCCTGCTGGAGCGGGGCCCTCTCTGCCGTTTTTGAAACCACATCCCTGTCCACTCAGTTCTTTCACCATCACTGGCTGCCAGATCCTTGAGGCCCCCCAGCCGCTGTTACATCAGTACTCCACTTAGTTTTTTTCTCTCCCTGTGACTTTTTAGGAGAATCCCAAGGGTCCTGTTTCAGTTACACAGTGAGAGAGCGGAGGGTGGGAGAGAGCTTGCAAGGTCAGCTCTGTTTGGAAGCAGTTCTCTTGGCCTTTAGCCCTCCCCTCAGCAGCTGACTTTCAAATGGTAAGAGAAGGCTGTTCATGTGACCCAAGGGAAAGACCCACTCTGCATGCAGAGACTGCAGAGGCCTTGTCATCTGGCAGTGATGGGGAAAGTTGCTTTGCAAGGAAAGCCTTGTGTTTCAGTGCATGTCTGTTCCTCCCAGTATCACTACAACACCATGTTTACTTTTGCCTGCGTTGAGATAATATGCATTATTCGAGTGCTTTAGTATTGGTGTAGGGTGTGATTCTGTGCTGTTTTAGCCTATGAGCTGGAGGTAGATAATTTACCAGCTCTGGGGTCCCAGAGGGTGTTAAGTGTGGGTCTACCACTTCTTGTGCTACACGAGATAGTGGTCACAAGTCAGCTTTCCTCAGGGCTACTAGCAAGGCCTTAAGTAATCCTATATCTGTAGCTTAAAGAGTTACAGTTCTGCAGCTGAGTCCCTGTAACCTGTTTGGTGCTCATCCACAGCCTTCCCTCACCACCACAAAGCTTTAGCATAGACTATCTTTAAGCTTAGCCCTTCTGTTTTACAATCATGAGTGAGGACTGTACGGTCATCATGCAGGTGATAACCAGTAACGTATGAAGCTGCAGTAACTTGATCACCCTTGGGTATAGATCTGGACTGTAACACATTGTTTTAAGAGTCTCTTCTCAGTGAGAGATTTTTTGTTGTTTCTTATTAAATTTTGAGATCAAATCTATCCTTGTGAGGATCTCTACAGGGTTAATCAATAGTGATAGATTTAAGAAGGAAAAAGTTGTATTTGACGAATAGCCAAGGAATGTATTTTCTATTTTAAATAACTAATAGATATTTTTTCATGGAAGGCATTAATAGAAGGAAAAGAGGTGAGCGGTAAAGGTTTAGTGGGTAAATATTTAGCAGGGTGGGGAATTTTCTTTCAGTATTTTCAGATGTTTGTAGCATTTAGGTTAATCAGTCAGTTTTCCAGTGAAATCTGTCTTTGTCTTGTAGATAAAGAGTCCGTATTTAACTGCTTGAGACCTTGGGATGGAGGAAGGAAGTTCTGTGCAAGTGTTTGAACAAGGGAGAGGTGGACTGAGGCAGGCAGAGGCGAAAGGCCGGGCCCCACAGGGCTCTTAAAGCCACCCACACAGCTGTACTGATCTCTCTCGGACTTGTGGTCCTCAGCCAGCACTTGACTACTTCGAAGACAAAAGTAGTACTTGGAGCACGTATGTGCCCATATGCTCTTTTTCAGTTGCAGTAATACACTTGTCAGTAACACACCGTTTCTGCACCGTGCTACCCTACACATATTTGTATCTATTTTGTATGACTGAGGAAAAAACAAATGTTGACGGTGTATAAAGGGAAATTAGTTCAGATATTTAGTATCTAGATTTTACTTTAGTATTTCACAGCATGCTTGCGAGTGTGTGTCAGATTTTTCCTAGGAAATTAGGATGTCTTCCAGCAGAAGCTGATACATAGACTCAGCTTTTCCTGAGAAATAGCTTCCACTATTCCCTGAAGCTAAGGATTTGGAGTTTGCAAGATCAGGGCCTAACAACTTCACATCTTTCTTACTATTCTTTTTTCTCTTTCTTCTTCTCCAGGAAAACAATACTCTGTCATGTCTCCATGTTAAAATGACTGGAAATTGAACGTAGGGGGATTTAGCATGTGATTACTTTTTTTAGACAGGATTTTCTTCACAGCTGAATTAGAGTGAGTCCTTTTTCTCCAAACCAGATGGTAGGTGATTCAGTACTTCTAGCAGTAGAAAAATGATTTGTTTTCATTCCCCAGTAGCTGGTGTGAATGTACTTTTCTTTATCTATTTACAGATTATGTAAACACATTTTACCAGCATTTAGCTACGTACTTTACGGGCCTAATCCTGCAGAGTCCTGTATATGCAATGCCCAGCTTAGGAGGGGCTGCCATTGCTTACAGAGAGCTGTTTGCATGAAACTTGAGGCATTGTGGTATCTGTATTTGTATTTTTATGTGTACACTAAAATTTATGATGCTTTATGAAGATGCAAACAGAACCATAAGCCCACAGGACAGTTGAGTGACTTTGTGCACTTCTTTCACCTATCAAAATCTATGAGGATGCCCTTGGTCTCTTGCTTTCTTTCTGCAATAGGCTATATTTCTTGGGGCTTCTGAGTTAAAGCTGAAAGCTTTAGCCCTATTGTAGAGTGTTAGGGTGAGTCCTTCCTGGTGCACAGGGGGAATAAGGCCTCATTCATGTGACTTTTTGGATTTGCCTTCTCCTGATGCAACAGGGGGGGCTCAGCACAGAGAGTATCTTCTACCCTGCTGCTCTTGTGTGGGGGCAGAAAAGCAACACTGGGAAGGGATTCCATTAATGGTGAGAAATATTAGAGAATTTATTAAAAATCTCTGTTTATTTGTGTAAAAGGTCACCTGCATCTGTTTGTATGTGTGTATATAAATATATAATGTGAATACTGCAGCACAGTTTCTTATTTTTGTGTATATGTGCTGTGTGAATCCCAGCTGAGGTTAGGCTGCATGCTGGGAGGAACGTCAGCTTGTTTGGCCAGCACTGCTTAGGCACTGAGAGCTGTACCTCTTGACATATCTTTTGACATATCTCATCCCAGTCTTGCTCAGTCTCATTTTTTGTACCTGGGAATTGCTTTATTATGGTACCAAAAAGAAATAAAAGCATAAAGTAATGGGTATGAAGCTGTAAGAATTATACCTGTAAAGGAGCAGAACAACAGCTCCTAGCCCAGCTGTCATGAGCATACAAGGGCAGTGCTATTAGGGTTTCTGTTGTCAGACTATTGCTGTGCATGCCCTTGTGCATGCTGTAGTTGCCCCCTCACTGACAGCAGAGTGCTGCTTGGTGTGGCATTCTGGTGTGCTCTGGCACCAAGATGCCTGTCCTTTACTGCTGGGCCCTGCACAGCACCGTGCCTGGCAGTGTGTCCGGTGACCATGGTGTGCAGTAGGTGAAGGGAGCTCAGGAGAATTAAGCAGAGCAAATTGGTGATGGAGGAAAGCCTGGCTTCAGCACCGAGGGCTCGGAAGGAGCAGGGCTAGGGACCAATTATATGTGACCTTCTGTGTGCCCCTGTGAGTGCATGGTGTGGAGAAAACATGGCTCAGAACGTTGAGGGCTAAGTAATTGCTGGAAGCTCTGGTTATACTTCTGGGTTACAGAAGCATATGTTTATAAGCACTGCAAGTACTGAAGTGTATTTCTTCTGGTTTCAGTTAATAATAGGGCACGTTGTGTACAGTTTGTTTGCTGTATTGGTTCATTTTATTGTGTGTAAATACTGCAGAAACAATTTTGTCTTTTGTTCAGTGTTACTCAGCATGATTTAATTCTTGTAAATCAAATGAATTGAGGGGGATAAGCAGCTTGCTGTAGTCTGTTTGTGAAACAAGACCTTGGAGGGACACGTGCAGCTCCCCAGGAGTCAGAGGGCAGTGAGGAAGGAGCAGTGTGTGCTACAGAACAGAAACCCTGCAGTCCACCCATGCTGCAGACAGGACAAGTCACTGCTAATGGCAGTTAGCTCAGTGAAAAGGTATCCTGACCGAGTCTGCTGTCCTGTGTGTGCTATGGAGATCAACAACTTGTCGCTCTTGGTGGAAGTGATATGATGTAGCACTAGGGCAAATGGAAACAGATCTGGTCAACTCTAATACATTTTTGTATTTGGGAATGAAAGCAAGAGTCCAGGGATGAAGTGGCTGTACGTGCAAGTAATTGTGTGATTCCTAAGTGACTTCTAAAAGGCAGATCATTATTTAATTGTTAGAAATACAAACTGTTAGCACAGATCTTCTGGTTTGACTGAGCTGTATTTGAGTGTGACAGAGAGAGCAAAGGTAATGATAAGCCCTGGGATCCAAGAGGCCAATCTGTAACGTAACTGAAGGCAGAAACAGGTCATTAGTTGCTTTGTAATGACAGATTTTTATTTTGTGTACAAAAATAGTTGATTAATTATTTTTTACTTTGATTAGGTCATTGCAATCTTTCTGTGTGAATCTATTTTACTTCAGTGGTGACATACGATTACAGTGAAAAAAGGGTTTGATAACAAGAATTTGGTTGTTTTACTATAAAGATATTGTAATGTAACCAAAAAGATAAAATGGGCTGAATCTGTGTGCAGAATTTGAAAGCTACATGAGAAGCACAAGTTGAAAATGGCCGTTCTTCTGTTCTGTTGTATGCTGTGCATTTCTTGCAGTATTGCACCTTTGGAACAAGGGCAGTCTAGACCCAAGAGCTTAAAAGACAATTGTGGTCAATCATGTTTTAGCAGCTTAGCACTCTGTTCCTCCTCAGCTGAGCTTCAGGAACCAAGTGGAGGAACTCTGCTCTCATGTCCTGTGGTGAAATGATACCTGTTAGCCTAAGCCACCTTCGTGTTCTTGAGTTCTTCAACTCTGTTAACCTTACCACAGGTTATCAGCTGTCCTTAAGCCTAGAAATGTGTTCATCCTGTTCAAGCTTGTGTGAGCATAGTACATATTTCCTAAGGCCAATGTTTAAAAACATTTCACCTTTCAAAGAACCTGCAGAGTTCGATGAAGTAAATTTTATTTATGCTTTTTTTCCCTTTTTTCTTCTTTTTTTCTGTCTGTAAAACTGACGGTTGGTTCTGCAGGTGATCTGGAGAGACACCAAATTTTGTTGGGACATAAATGTAAGCCCAGAGTCAGTGGAGCATTTATGAAAATACTTTCTGGAAAAAGTTGTACTGGCTGAAAAGGAGAAGCTTGCATTCAGCTGACATCACTGGAAGATGCACACACAAAGTGAAAGTACTTTGTGGCCTTTAGGCTTCTGTTCCTGTGGTACATGAGGTTTTGTACTACACAGAAGATGGAACCCTTCACTTTTCTTGGTAATAGAGATTAAGTGGGTACCTCTGATCGATTCCTGTCTGCTCTGTCTGGAATATCCCTCCATGACTTAAAGGAAGTTCTGTGCCAAGAAGACTATTTGGATTGAAACACTGTAATACAGGAGTGATTAATTGATGGTAATTTTTAAAGAGATGAGTCCAGTAGTTTCTGTTTATCTAGATCATAGAAATAACTTGAAGGAATATGTTCACCAAAGTGAAATTCTCTCTACCAGCGTTTGGTAATAGGTTACTTACTTGTTTACTTCAAACACGGTGTCTTTTTCTCTAAGCCAAACTGGAAATCAGATTTTCTTCTTATTTAAGTGTATCGGAAGTAACTGTTAATGTTGGTAGGGTTACAGTGATCTTAAGTGAATGTCGCCAGTGGAAAATCAGGCCCAATGCTGTTTGTGTGTTTGGCCAGAGGAAGGGACATTTCCATTTTCCATTGCTGATTGAGTTCCCCTAAAATCTTATCTAGTATACAGGAACACTGAAGCTGTTTCAAGAATATATTCAACCTAGTTCCCTACCACACAGGAAAATCATGCAATCAAGTTCCCCATTTGAGTGTGTTAGGAGAAGCGCATTTCCTGTCTCCTCCCTTTGACTGCTTTGTCCTAGATTTGAAGTCTCTGGGATTCAAGCTGTCTGCCACTATGTGTGAGGCCATGGGCATCTCTGTGCTGGAGAGAGCCACCTCTCATTGCAGTCTGTTCTTTGGGTGCTGCTTAGAGGGCTGAGTTAGAAGGCTGGTGAATGGCTTGCTTAGTTGTCTGGGTGAAACCAATAACGTGGATGGGCTGCATGAGGAATTCTTCATCCTGCCTAGACTAAGCATGACTGGATATATCAGAAATCCCACAGGTACTCAGTTCTGGGTCCCGTTCGCACGCATCCACAGCACTGATCCCCAGGAAGCTGGATTTGGCTGCCTGGAGGATATGGGTTGCATTAAAAGGCCATTCCCTGCTGGGATATTAGGAGCAACTGCAGAATAAATACTCACAACTTGCTTTCACGTTGTATTGCACAGGGCTTGTTCTCCCTTTTGGTGTCTTTGGACTTGATGATCCTTGTGAGTCCATTCCATCTCAGGATATTTTGTGATTTCTTTGCAAATGACTTCTAATGCTGCTTTGTTTTGATCCCAAAGCCTTGATTTCTCAGTAGCCTCTGCTGTCTGTGTAGCAGTAGGTTCACCAACTTTCCTACTTGAAATTCAAGGAGTTTGGGAGAAATGAGTGATTCCCAAAATTGACAGCTCACTTCTCTAGCAGTTCCATGGATTTGATCTGGCCCTGGTCTCAGGGACAGCTTGGCAGAAGGTTAGGGAGGAAAGCAGCACTGCTTTTATTGTGCTTCATGTGCCGTAGGCTGCTGATGTTAGGTGCTGAAAGGAAAAGTGTTATGAGAAGAAGGTTGTGGGTGAAGGAGAATCATTGCTATCAAGTGAACTAGGGGGTAGGACGCTGACATCTTGGCACACAGGACAGGCTGAAGAGAAGGAATGACTGACAGAAATAAAATCCTCTTAGTCCAGGCAATGTCAACCTGTCATCGTGAGTTCAGTAGTTATAGAACTGCAAGCCTACTGCTGCCTGCTTTGCAAAGGGCAGATCATGAATTACAAGGCATAGCAGAGTACTTAGGGCTTTGAGGTGCTGACAAGCTGATACCACCCAGAATAACTGCAGAGAGCATGGTCGTGGCCCACATGAGATAGAGTTTTAAAAGCTGAAAAAAACAGCAAGCGTGTCACCCTTGAAGACAGCATACAGCATACATACTCAAAGCTAATACTGCCTTGCTTTCTGTCTCCACAGCAGCTGCATACATGTGTGCGGCCCTGGCACACCTGGAAATAGGGTAACCATGCTGGGTAGAGCAAAGGACTGGAGAGTGATGCTACCAAGGCATATAAAACCCTCACAAGAGAGCCCATTTTGTGATGTGGAGGCAATACTGTGGGTCTGAGAGAATGCAGGACTAAGGTAAGAGCATGCAGGAGCACACTGATAAGGGCCACTAAGTGAGGAGCCAGAAAGGATTTTACTGTTTGTGGCTTGAGGACTGGGGCAAGGAGTGATAGATCAGCTTGGGAAGGTAGTGGAGTATCTAGTTGGGCTGGAGTAATTTTAAAGTATATCCAGATTTTGTGGTTGATCCTTGACCATATTGGAAATGTTCTGGTATTCTTCAGCAGTACTTATAAGCATCTGGCAGTCTTGGTGTTGGGCAATTGAATCAGGACTTAGAGCACTGAGAATATGCCCCTCTTGTTTGCCATACACAACTGCAGATTTAATATTTTTCTTATGGAGAATATGGCACTTTCCTGTCCTGTGGAACAATGTCTCTCTTCTGCCATTCTCATGGAGATGTGTGGGGATGATATCACTTCCTAGCAAAGCACTGGTGAATCACTTTGTTGGTGTTCATGAATCACTTCTTTGCTACCATTTTCTACACTGGTCTTAATATAATTTCCAAAAGCAAAAATCATCATTTCAGAGTCCTCTTACTTTTTGTTAAAGAGACAGTACTGAACTTATCTCATTGCCTGACTTACCAAACCAAGTTCCCATTGTACTGCAGCTGAAGTTATTGCCACCCATCCAGTTCATTTCCTCCACCGCAGAGGCAGGCTTGCTCACCACAGAGTGAAGAAAGGGAACATATATGTTTGTCTCAGAGGCTCAGGTGGCAAGTCTGATAACTTGGATTAAAGCTGTCTTCCCTGTCCATTTCAATTGCTGGACGTTTCACTGGACTGCTTGAATCCAAGGTCTTCCAATCTTGCTCGCTTTTATTGTTCTGCTATGGATCTGATAACCTCTGCACAGGAGCAGAAGTGCTCTGAGTTGCCATGGATTTGTGTGCAGATGTTCTTCTGCTAGACACTTAGTCAAAAGCTTCCTATATTTTTTTAGCTACTAGGAAGTGTAACTGGTTGCTCAGATTCTCCATGAACTTTGTGGTGTAAAGTAGGCAGGAAGCTGGAGTAAGCAGCCTTGTTTTAAGGGATAATCAGGTGACAGGCTGTGTAGTTGCTAGTTGTGTTGAGGTAACATCAAGAGTCTTTGACATCCATCTTATGCATTGGCACAGGGCTTTTTTTTTCTGGGCGAAAAGAAGTGTGAGTGGTGTGAACATGATTTCGCAAGGGTAAAGGCACTTGTGGTTTATTTTTGGCAAAGCCTGAGGCTGCTTTAAGTAGTTGTTATGACACCACTAATCCTTTGGCAACCACAAGTTCAGGGAGCTGCACAGGCAGCTTGGAGGTGCCCTTGCCCATTACCTTGTTGGATGAGGCAAGCACGCCTCAGTCACAAAGATCCAACCTGTTTCTCTGATCCAGCACAGCATGTGCCCTGGTAACTCTACTGCTGTCTTTGGAGGCTATTTCCTATTGTTTTGTCTTTACTGTTGTGCTTCATCATTTCTCTGTAATACATTACACATTGTAAGCAGGTATATGTAGCACTTCCCAGTAGAAATTTAAAGTGAAAATTCTTCCTTGGAGGTCAACATGCCATGTGGGACATGGCCTATGTGTGGGCAGCATCTGACAGATTCCTGCCACTGCCACCCAACAGTCTTGTCAGAAATGACAGCACCTGCCTGTGGATTACACTAACACAGCATTACCAGCCAAAATGGGAAGCATTAGCAGCGTTGTTTGCTTTGTGTGTTCATATTCCTGATCCTTCCTTGCTATGATGAACGCATTATAAACGTCTGCATGGATGTTTTAGGATAATGGTATGGATACTGTTCACTTCTGAGCAGCCTACATGTAATTATTGTAACATAAAAGCAGCTCAGAATACTGCTTGAGAGTTTTTCAGTTATCCATGATTCTATGTATGTAGACAGATAAGGAAGTAACCTGTCTGAAAGGTTTCTCATTACAGAATTAGTGCCAAGGGTCAGATCTTTCTCTGGAACTCTGGAGTCTGTTCTAATATTTGCAGTGTGCCTATGTGCTAGAGAATTTTCAGTTTTCTTTATCATTTGTGATGGATGAAATCACATGAAATCTTCTTTTTTTTTTTTCCTTTTTTTTTCTTTTTTTTCCCCAAAAGGTTCTTTGGCTTTTTCTGCCCATCTTGCAGCTGTAAGTGTGTGTGTTATTTGCACTCAGTAGCAGACTGCTATTTTGTGCCCAATAGGGATTGGCAAAATAGCTGTTCATTTACCCTCTCTCTAAGTTTGCCTTCAGTCCAAGCTGTTTAATCTTCCATGTGGTCTGGTGTCAGCCTCCCATTGTAAATTATCTGCCCTCATGACCCACAACCTGACTTTTCTTACTCTGCTCAACAGAGCTACTGATGACTGAGTTTAAAAAGTCAAGCTAGTTCTGAGAGAATACCTGTGAGTATTTTGTATCGGTGTGATTTGTACTTACTTGGCGTGTTTTGTAAGGCTGTTTGACTCCTTCCTGCCCTGCTTTCAAATACATGACCTTGGAAATTGGTTAGTTTGAATTTAACTTTTTTTTCTCATCTGCAGGCCTTGGAGAATTCTGATCGCAGTGCTGGCTTGTGGCTGTGCTGAACTTAGAAACAGCTGAGCTGAAATTTCCACACTAAAAGACATGACTGCTTCTAGTAACCTTGGTACCTGTCTTTTGCTTTTTTTTCAAACAGTATCCAGCGATGTCGAAGTCTTATTGCATTGTACATGTTTAGTGTTTTTGAAAAATAAGCAATTTCTTGAGTACCTATTAGAATTTATGAAAATAATGGGTCCCCTTCCATTCTAAGTGCACACGTTTTTTTCTTCTATATGCTTAGTATTGTAAACTGATCATTTCTTTCCATCGGTATGGGAAAACTTTTGAATAATGTACCATGTTATAGAAAAGGGAAGGAAAAACACAACAACCATGTACTCTGCCTGAAGGAGCTTTCAAAGTATAGCAAAATCAGCAAATATGAATTGTAGATCAAGAAATAAGGAGAAAAAGGGAGCAAAGATACAGAAGCTAAAGTAAGATGAGATTGTTCAAAGAGGCAGAAAGAAGGATTTGGAGCACCAGAGGATGAAGGGTGCTTTGTAGTAAAGATTCCATAATAAGGGTCAGCATTGCTGTCTGAACCTTCCCTGCTGCAACTTGAAGCCATTCCCTCTCATCCTATTGCTGTTACCTGGGAGAAGAGGCTGACCCCAACCTCACCATAGCCTCCATTCAGGTAGTTGTAGAGAGCCATAAGGTCACCCCTGAGCCTCCTCTTGGTCAGGTTGAACAGTCCCAGCTCCCTCAGCCACTCCTCCAGACCCCTCACAGTTTTGATACGTTTCTTTGGACACAATCCATGGCCTTGATGTCTTTCTTGCAGTGACGAACCCAAAACTGAACACGGTACTCGAGGTGTGGCCTCACCAGAGCTGGGTACAGAGGGACAATCATTTCCCTGCTCCTGCTGGCTGCACTATTTCTGATACAAGCCTTGATGCCATTGGCCTTCTTGGCCACCTGCTCACACTGCTGGCTCATGTTCAGCTGGGTACTGACCAATACTGCCAGGTCCATTTCCTCTACACAGTCTTCCAGCCCCAAGCCTGTAGCATTGCCTGGGGTTGCTGTGGCCACAGTGCAGGAACAAACAGATGTATTCTCTTCCAAACCTGTCAGGAATGGCCATGCAAAGTGAATTTTGGTGGCGTTTGGGAAAGCAATGCTGCATGTGCCATTGATATGACCAGTTAGCATTTTTCTCCAGCCAAGTGCTGAGGCTGTATCTGCAGCTCTCTATTTGATAAAATCTGAGGCAACTGAAGGGCAGACAGGCTATGCTGGTTCTTGTGTATCTGCTGGAGAAGGTGGAGGTGTTCCTCTGCTACATGGGGAAATACTGGTTCATGCTGAAACTTCTATTACAAAGAACGCTGAATTGCCTTTAAAAGGTTATTCACAAAAGAGGAAAAACTAACAATGAACTGAGCAATTAGCTTGTCTTTTACTTTTCTAGGTACTCTTAACAGCTACACATTCCTCTACAATTTAAAATTAGTCTTGAAGATGTTGAAGCATTAATTTGATATCTTTACACTCTTCCTGGCTGATTTAAGATATAAGGCGTTTTTCTTCAAGTTAGCTGCCCTTTATTACTGTTACTGGTCAAATTAAATTGCTATTTGTCAGAGATTGCAAACTGTCCACAAAACTGATCATATTTACATATGTGTTTTTGTTAACTGAAAGATGAAGATACATTGAAAAGTAAATGAACTTCGATAGCAGTTTGAGTGAGAAATCAAACCCAGGTTTTCAGCACATCAGTTTGCTGTTAGGTTTTAGTGATATGCATCAGTCTATGGGTCATGTCTGCAATTCTGCACGTACTTCAGCGTTTGTTCTTGTTCCATATGTGCCTTTTCCTTTCTCTTTCTGGTCATCGTTTCAAAAACATCAGAGGAACCCTGACTGAGCATTTCTCCTGCTTCTGCCTGTGCTTCGGGATATGCAAGAATAACATTGGCAGATAGAGGCCTCAAGTTCCTCTTGGATGCATCTGGATTATTTTATTAGGGAATCCACTGAGCCTGTGATCAGTCTGAGTGCAGCTGATGATGAACAGCACCAAGATATGGTACTGAGCTGCTGATCAAATAGGTGTATTTAGAAGACTTGAAAAATTAGATGGTTGAAGCATCACTCATAAGCCACAGGCTTCACCATGAGGACTTTAGGGCAGCCACGGCTGTACGGAGTACCTTCACCAGCAATCTTTCAGCCTCTGACAAAACTATCGTTCTTGAAGGTAACTGTGGGTGGTCTTTCTTGGTCTGATTTCTAGAAATTCGGTACATCACTTTCTAGTTATGCAGCTGATACTCGTGTTTGTATGAATGACTATTTAAAGAAGGAAAGATCAGATGTTTGTTGTTTCATTTCAACATAAATCAAACTTTGTATTCGCATAGCAATTCTAGTTTAGCCCCAGGAATAGCTTTAGTATTGCTAAGTGTCTGGAGAGTATTGACTACAGAGACATGCTTATAAGCAGGCTATAATAGTTTCTACTGCTGTTAACAGTTCGTAGAAGAAAGGCAGCATTATTCATCAGTGTTTAAAATGTGCATGACTTGCATTGCACAGAAGTCAGATTGGGAGAATGTCAGATTTTTTTTTTTGAGATTCTGCCAGGAAAGTCTTCAATAACTGGAGAAATTCTTTTCACTGGTGAAATCAACATGCAGCACATTGTGTTATTATAATTGCTTATAGCTCACCATGAAAGTTGTCTTTGTATGTGTGGATGTACGGCTTGTACTGTTTTGTTTTTATTTATTCTGCATTCTCTATTATAATGTTCTTTCCTTTTTTCCAGACCAGAAAGATTGTTATTGAGCTTTCCACAAAGCTGAAATAATGCTGTGTGTTAAAAAAATGTTAACAATTTGAAGAAGTTATAAAAATTTATAAGTTGACTGAATACTTTGGAAATTTCTGCATATTTTAATATAAATAGGTAATGCAAATGTTTGTTCTTTGCATTTAAAGGTGGGTCTCTGTTTTCTAAAGGTCTTGTATATAAATTTGATTCTTACAATTACATTAGAACAAAACCAGTATTTTTTCAGATTGCATAATAGGAAAAGGGTATTTGCCAAAGACACAGAACATACGTGGTTATCTTTGAATGTCACACAGTCCTGAAATTTAACATAAAATAGTATCAGTTGTTTAAATGACTTAATTAAATGAAGTTAGGGGACTGCCTGTTGCAGTCAGCTGAGGTCCTTCCATTCAGTTTCTTAGGTCCTGGGTTGGCACACAAAGGGAAAAACCATGCTGCATCTGGCTGAAAACTAGAGGAAGTGAAATTTGTATAGATATCCTGATTTCCCAGATCATGGTGGTATAACTTGCATAAAAATTCACTTTCAGAAAATCAAAGAAATTGTGGAAGTTGGAGGAGTTATTTCAGATGGATTTGGTGTAGCGATGAGCTCAAGCTTTATTCGAAACTGTAAAATAGAACAGGAAGATACAAAACAGAGAGGAGGAGTAGAAAGTGGTGCAAAGGAAGAGGTGAGTTTCAGATTACAGTGAGGTGAGCAAGGACCTAATTAATAACAGTTTTAACAAAGATTAGTCCAAAATGTTAACAGTTCAAAAGTTGTGGTTCACTGGAGATGCTATCTGAGAGGAAAGATATCAGACTGCTTGTTGGGGTTTTTTTTTCATTGGTTATTTTGTTTTTCACTTTCTTGGTTTGCTTTTTTTTTTTTTTGGTGGGTGGATGGTGAGGAGTTAGGTAGTGGTGTGAGTTTTGGGTGGTGTGCAAAGTAGAAAGGGTTTCTTAATTTTCCCTGAACAAGAATGAATGATACTCTAATGCAGCTTTTCCAGAAACACCACAGCTGTTAGGGATAGACCTAGAGAGCAATAGTTTCAGTGGGGTGCCCTGGACTGCATGCTGTGTGCAGCTGGTGTGCTTCCCCTGTGCTGCTGGGAAACTTGGGGGCTGCTCTTTGGTGCAAGCACAGCACTGTATGTGGAGACACTGAGGGGCTGTCATAAAAAGCACACTCCTGCTCTACCTGACATAGAGACACCCTGTGATACCTGAGGGCAGCAGTGGTGGCAGGGCAGGAAACACTCAGAATCCACTAGTCTCTGTGTTACAGATGCTGGCAGAACATACAGCCCTAAGGAATACAGCAGGTGAAGAGGTCACAGTGATCTGTACTGCACAGTAATCACTCTCAGAAAGAGAAAAGGGAGATGATTAACTGGATGGATGCGTTTGAAAAAAATAAAAAGATGCTGGCCCCTTAACATACATCTTAGAAGATGAGTTGTGGGGCGGTTTTGTCCAATGAAACAGTGCTGTCCACATGAGAAGGGACATATGTAAGGTAACAGTAAGTTCTGCAGTGTCTGCCTTCTCCTCAGGGTAAAGAAGTTCCCAGGGAAGTTGGCACCTGTGTTGAGGCTACTGCAGTCCGGTATTTCAGGATGGATTCTGTCCTGACATTTTTGAAGGAGCTAGTGGTGCTGTGTAACATCAGCACCAATAAAAAGTGTGCAAAACTAATACAGAAGAGTCTCAGGTTTGGGATATGCTGTTTTTGTAGGTCTTTCTCTCAAGGCATCCCAGTATGTTCTTCATTACTTGAAAAGCTTCCTTGGTCGTTGTGACCAGTGCCATGAAATAACGTTGCTGCTAGATGGTGATTTGCTGTGCTTGTAATTTTGAAAGACTGCTTTCCAAATGGTATCATCATGGTAAATGAATCCTCTGAGCTTATGCTCATGAAACTGAATTCAGTTCAGGAATCTGTTGATTCTTCAGTCTCTTGTGAGTAGTTTCCATTGAAATATTCTCTGGGATCATTCATTTTGAGTGTTAAAAATGACTGATTGGTAACAGGGAGTTATCAGAGACTCAGAGACTCATTTCCATGTTCCTTGTCAGTATGCCACTTCATACTGTGTTTATTCTCAGAGCCTGTCATATGAAAGTACAATTTTACAGAACAGAGACACAGAGAGAATTAATGATGTAAGTTTGTGTAAGGAAATATGTTGCAGAACTGATCTTGGCTTTTCTCGGCTTGCGATGTTTGGCCTCTGGACTGGTTCTCCTGCTGTTCTGCAGCAGTTACTTGTCTTTCTCATTGAGGCTCTTGGTCTTCCCATCCCACAGTCAAGAAGACTGCACAGATACTGTGGTCAGGTGAGCCTGAATGTGACAGATTTTTAACAAATGGCTGATGTACCAAAGTATGACATGTTTATGTATGTCAGTACTTTGAGAACACTTTGTCAACAAGAGCTATTATCTTTGCTACAAGCAATAGGCATGCTCAACTGTTTGGCTTTTGAACTTTGGAAAAAATTATTTGCTAATAAGATCTTGGCTTATGAAAGACAATGAAATGCATGAGCACAACACAGACTTCTTACTAGATCTTGTCAGCAGTTATCAAGACAAATATTAGCAGTATTAGGGTTTTCCAAGCCTCTTTCAAACTGACTGTGCAGCCTTGCTAAATTTGCTGGTTGTTGTATGCCTTTCTCCAAGAACAGTTGGCCTTCATTGCTTCTGAGCAATATTTCCTTGGAAGCTCTAAGAAAACAAAAGGCGACCCAGGGAAATCTGAACAGATCTCTACTTAGAGATCTCTACTTAGAAACCAGCCACGTTCAATCTGTAGAGTATGTAGAATTCTGTAGAATTCTTTTTGTTTTTTCCTGGGGAAAGGCAGAAGAGGGCAATAGGTGCAGGCTGAGGAGGAAAGCAGCAGTGCCATGACCCTGCAGCATTTCTACACGTTGAGTCACAGAGTGACATTTAAACAATTCTCACTGCACCCAGTATGAAAAACTTTGATGCTGATCATATTGCTGGCCGTTCTTGAAGAAAGGTTAGGAGAAAAAAAGTCAAGGCACCAAATCCATAGGTAGCCTTTCACATGTTTCAAATGTCAAGGAGTCTTACCAGAAAAGCCTCAAGCCAAGTGATTATTTAATAAAAAGAGAGCCTTTTTCTCTGCTCCAAACTTCCCATCTCTAGAGCTGGTGGTTTCCAAAACCACAGTTATTCAGTTCAGTGTGTTCTCTTGACCAAATATCAGTTTGTTTCCTGATTTTGTTTTTCTGAAATATTTTACATTCAGCAAGGCAGAAAGGCCTCCCTAGTAAGTGGTGAAGCAAGGAGAGCTGTGCTCTTTTTATGGGTTACTTCTCTCAAAGAACAGTTCTCAGTGCTTCTGAAGACATTGCAACTGAAGTAATTAAAAAGAATCATTGAATTTTGAGTAAAACTTAGATAGAATCCTTATGTGCTCTTGGTTTTTTGATGCTATGTGTTCATGTGTAATTCCCTTTGAGGTTTAATGAGAGAGCTGGGTTTTTTTGTTTGGTTGGTTTGGTTTTTTTTTTAGAAATATGCTCTGCTTGAAATGTTGTAAGGTTTAATCAGTGTCTTATTACATAGGAAGTTCATACACATTTGTTTAGTTGATGGATAAATGGATTGGTACTGACGATGATTTCAGAGGATAATAGGTTGTTAAGTTAACGTGAAGGGCCTTGTTCTTTTGCTTTGCTGGATGTTTTCTGATGACTGAGTTTCCTGAGGTACCCTTTTTAGGGCCTATGCTGGTGGTTATCCCTGTTATTGTGTAGGTATTAGGTTCAGTAAGAATCTGGAGTAGCTTGCTCCGGGATTTTAAATATCAAGAGAGAGATACCAGGCAGAAAATCCATAGCCTTGGAAAGCTACAAACTAATGAAATTGCACACTGAAAATTAAAAGCATAAAATGTTCTTTCAAAAGTTAATACACTTATCTAGATACATTATCCCACGTCGTACGTCATACACGTAAATAAAATACTTCTATAATAGATTTGAGACCTGTGGAAACTCAGCATTATACCATTGGTCCCTGCATCCTTTTTCTGTTCAATGGGCAAGAAGATAGGTGTATGCAGGTTTATTTCAGAAGCTCCTTTGCACTTTGACTCCTGTTGTCTGCTTTGATTTTTCACTTTGCTCTCCTTTATCTCCGCAATTTTTTCCCTGTACTCCAGTAATTCACTGTGTACCTCTGATTCTGCATGGGTTGCCTTAGGCTGTGGCCTGATGTAAGCTAGTTGTGTGAGGATATCCCTTTCAAGTATCTGTACTTTTATAATGGTACAGGTCATTCAAAATGCAGAACACAGATGCCTGAGTATGCTAACAGCATTGCTGTCGTTTAACAGATGTTCAGATCACAAGGTGACAGAACTGCAAAGTGTCTGAACTAAGGCTGTCTTTTCAGTGGAACTTCAGCCTTGTTTTGCAGATGTGCTGAGACAAGGTTTCATTACATAATCATGTAGGATTTCTTTTAACCTTCTAATATTGTTTGTTAGTGGAGTGCTGGATAGGGGGCTGGTGCAGCCATTGCTGCTTGCATTGTGACTTAATGTGTGGCTTTGTATCCAGTTGCACATGGCACTGCACACTGTGTCAACTTGGCCTTGGATTAAATTAAGCTTAGTCATAGTGCACATATTGCGTGTGGTGCCTGTAGGGAAGCAGGTAAATATCCTTGCTGCTGTGGTTTTGAAATCATTGATGATAGATTGCATTGCTGAAGTCAGTGATATAAGATCAAATTAACATCCATAATTACCTGTGAAACCTCAGAATTTCATGTTTCAGAATGTGAAATGCAGCTAGTTAGCTTTCCACACTTTGTTTTCCAATATGTCTGGTCCAGTTTGAGTGCCTTGTCCCAGAGTGGGGAAAAAGTGCTGTACCACATGTGGATGAAGTTAATCAGTTTGCAAGTATGTAGTATCCCATAAATTTCTCATAAAATCCTTTGAGTCCTCATGATATTCGCAAGATGCTATAAAATGTTTTGTTGCAAAGTGAGTATCTGTTTGTTCTCAGTAAAAAACATGTAAGTTTTTTTTGTTCATGCTTTGTTTTGCATGTTATATCATATGCTTTGTTCTTCTGAATAAAAAAAAAACAGAAACAAAATGAAACTGTTTAGCAGCAAGATATTGTTCTTAGAACTTTGACAGCATGGAAACTACTTGCTTCTTGTAGACAGCTCCTGAGAGACTTGCAGTTATGTTAGGCAAAATGAATGATTTAATTATTTTCATGAAACTTGAACCTTCAGCATATTCCTCCTCCTTCTGAATGTCAGGCCTTATGTAGTCTTGATTTTCTTCCTGTACAGGGTGCGATGAAAAAGAAATTGTTTCAGTTAAGTGAATAATTCACACACAGTAATTTGTTTAAACTTTCTTGTTTGCATCACATTGATGATACAATTGTTGGTATTTATATACCTTTGATAATTTCTGTAACTTTTTTTTTTTTCTTTTTTACTCTGTGTATCAATGCATAACAGCATTTTGTGAGCCATTGTTAATCACACTGGTTGCTTGATGGGGTTTGGCTGCTCTTGGTGGCAAAGACTTGGTGCCAAAGCACAAACACTTCCAAATAAATGCTCCTGAGATAATGTAAGCTTAGCTTCACTTTCCTTGAAGGCTGCTCTGTGAAGCTCAGAT